AAGTGTGAATTATCTTTGCCATTTTTTTCTTGATGTATATATCAACAAGTAATTATGAGGAGAAAGAAATGAAAATATAGTTTTTTTTTTTTTTTATACATATTTATTTTGATATATTTATGTATTTGGCCATTTTGTTTTTAAGTGTATATTTTTTTGTGTATGCATGTATGCGTCAGAAAGTCAATGAGTAAGGAAAATTTTGCCAGCTTTCCTATATGTTGCCAAGTACTGAAGACATTCTCTAAATAGTGCCAGTCTTTTTCTTTTTTTGTCACTTATTTTACCGAACTTTAATGCCTACATTTGTGCCTGGCAGTCAACCTTCGATTACTGCAACATTTACTCTGATAATAGGACTTACGCTGCATTTGTCATCCTAGAATGACAGAAGGCAGTATTATGATGCTGATACTTTTCTTCTTTTCTCCTCTAGAAAATGATAATAAAAGATATAACTTGCAGAAGGGCAGTGAATGTTAAGTTTCCTTTATGGTTGAAATTGTGTGGTTGTGTCTGAAGTGCCGTCACTGCTTGCTTAATCAAGATAAAGAAAAAGAGTTCATCCAGATTTACCTTGCCTAGTCATGGATTATTTTTGCGTACAGGTACCATTAGCATGGTCGTGAAAGCCAGGGAGTAGCACCGTCAACTGCTTTGCAACAGGAATGCATGCTGATAAGTCCTGGACTCTCAGGAATATTTTATGCTGCCTTCTACTTCTTATATTTTAAGTGAGAAGAATTATTTTCAAGAATGCATTAATTTGAGGAAAAGACAGAAGGGTCTTAAATAGTCATCTGAAGCAGTGTGTATTCTTTGTCTGTATGATATTGTATATATTTTTTTGAAATTTTGTGCTGTGCACAAGAACTTGATTTCTGAGTTTGATTTTTTGTTGTTGACATTCATCTTGCAAGATACCAGGCTAAATCTGAAGCAAACTTTGCTTTTTGTTAAGATTTGTCATAGTTGGAATCTGTGATATGAAACATCATTGTACATTAGCAAAAGCCATCCTTACATTGTCAAAACAGATTTTAGTAGCATATCTAGTGCTTGTCATTCAAATTAAATACAATTAGAAAGAATAGCTGTCATGTCTAGAACATTTCATGAAGTGCTGGATGAAGGGATGCTTCTCCCTTATGCAGTTTAAAGTGTGCATTGTGCTGAATAGTGTGTGCTTTGGACTCTATTTTTACACAATGGCTTAATGTTTCTCTCTCTCTCTCTCTCTCTCTCTCTCTCTCTCTCTCTCTCTCTCTCTCTCTCTCTCTCTCTCTCTCTCTCTCTCTCTCTCTCTCTCTCTCTCTTCTCTCTCTTCTCTCTCTCCCTCTCTCCCTCTCCCTCTCCCTCTCCCCTCCCTTCCCTCTCCCTCTCCCTCTCCCTCCTTCTCCCTCTCCCTCTCCCTCTCCCTCTCCCTCTCCCTCTCCCTCTCCCTCTCCCTCTCCCTCTCCCTCTCTTTATGCTTTGGTAGTCATTATGATGTTACCATGGGTTCATTAATGATCCCATTCCATTTTGGTGAGAATTCAGGTGTTTCTTTCATTCTGTTTCTTGTTTTCCGAATCATAGGTCAGAATGTGAGAGGCAGAGAATGACAGAGACAGAAACAGGGAGACAGAAAAGACATAGAGACAGAGAAGATAAGCATTAGTAGTGGGAATACCTTTTAGTGCTTAATTTGAATGTGATTTTTCAGATAACTTTATTGCCCATTATTATCCCATTTATAAGGAAGTTGTAGCCTTATAGTTTCTATAAAAAACATGAACCAATAAAATTTATTGCATTTTCACTAAACATTTTTAACAGGCTACAAGGGGCTGTGTAATAAAAAAAATATTCTAAAACCTTTGAAATAAACTGTAGTCATCTTAGTTCATATTTAGCCAGAAGCACTGCCCCTCGGTCACAGCTGAAGAGTAGATTGGATAATGTTCAATGTTCATGACATCAGCCATCATTTGAACATAACAGTTTCCTTGACTTAAAGTTTAATATTACTTAATCTCTTTTAAAGTGCTAATCCTTTAGAATTATATACATAATCTTTTATATTTCATTTTTTTTAAAGCATTAATATGCAGATGAACAGGTCTTATTATGAACTGTGAAGACATTGAGTGTGAGCAGCAGGGTAGTGACACTAACAGTATATATGAACCCTAAGCTGAGGCACGGAAGAGGGGCAGATATGAATTGAGGTGGCTATAACTCGTTTATACTGATGAAGGTATAGAAGAGATATTGGAAACTAAACCGTCTGAATTTACTCTGGGCATTTACGTCACCACTGTCTAGGCAGAAATCCTTGTTACTGGAACTCACAAGTACAAGAAAACCAGCATTGTAGATAATACTTAGAAGTAATTATAGTAACAGTCATTTATTCCTGTAATGAAAACTTGCCTAGGTGTAAAATGTATGCATATGGAAAACTGTCCCTTTGTCAGAAGATATGAGATTTATCTGAACTCAAGGATGAGTCGAGTTGTGTATCCCAAAGTGATTAGTTTATGAACGTGTGTTGGTCCCCCTGTTCATGCGTTTACCTTTGGTTTCCCATTTTGTTTGTTAGTCTAAAGATTATATATTTAAAGCAAGAATACATAGACAGATTTATGAAATAAATTTGAAAGGAAAGCCAGCCCTCAGTTACAGTGTTTCATATCTTAAAACAAGTTTGATATGTGTTTATTTTCTCAGGTGAAGTAGCTTAAGGTTATCAGTAGACAGCAAAGAACCGAATGAAGTGTTCATTTACTAGAACAGAAAGATAGCATAATGACATTATGTGACCATGCCCTTTTTTTTTTTTTTTTTTATTTTTTTTTTTTTTTTTGATTGTATTTGTTATCTGTTTGTTTACATTGGACGGGGATATTGAGGATAGCAGAGAGAGCAGAAATGCTTGAGTTTTCAAGTCAACTCTACATTAACCTCATTGTAAATATACACGTGAGAGTATTTATTTTAGATTATAGTCTGCAATTTTGTTCAGAACAGTGTCACTGGGATCTACATCAAATATACTGCTAGATTTGATTTTATTTCCTGTTGATGTGGAAATCTGTATATTCAGAACTGCCATGTTTCAGAGGATATGAGATACACAGACATGCACATTTGATCAGGAAAATTTTAATATGTATGTATCATTTTCTTGAAGCCAGAAGTATTACAGAAAGCTCACCATCTTTACTCAGCAAAGTACTTTTTAGAAATTCCTTCCTGCCTGGACCCTGTTACAGTTTTCCCCTCTTTTTTCACAGAATAAACTTCAAAGAGAAGTTATGATGAATATTTATGCTTAAGAGACCAAGACAGTCACTGAAACTAATGATGCACTTTGAAGTCACCATTTAACCAATCTTGTTTCTGATGTTGAAATGCTGTCAGATGCTCATAAAAAGCAGATGGCTTTGTCGCACCTTGTAATAGCTCTTTACACTGCCCATGTTATTTTTATAAGGGAAAATAGTTTGTTTTCTTTTAGCAATTCTTCAGGAAAAATGAAAGCTCATTGCAAATACTGTTCAGAGTTTTTGTCCCCTATACTGCTCATACTTTTTTTTTCTTTTCTTTTTTTAAGAATTCATCAGAATTCATGCACTGATACATTTACGGAAATGCCACGGTAATTAGGAACACACGTTTGCCCCTATTGAATGTAGATTGGGAAGGGGGTGGGGATTTGTTCTCTCATTCAAAATCTACAAATATGAAGCATTGGATAAATAAAAGGTAATTTCTGACATGCAAGCAGCTGGTGATGGTTTATGCAGCAGAATTACTATTAGCAAAAATGCATATAGATATAAAGAGAAAAAACTACTATGTTCACTTTTCTATTTTTCTCTTGTTTGAACGATAGTGTCTCCTTCCAAATTAGTGTATAGCACATACTGTAGATACTGTATATTGTAAGCACAGGTTTTCGTCTTAAATTCAATATCTTTTCCAGTTTTGAATAAACAGTAATCAAAGGACATAACTTTACATGAAGTCACAGAAATCCAAAGTATGATTGAAGATTGTATACTATCCACAGTTCCTTTACAGTTTCATTGTGTCAGAAGTGTAGTGTTAGCTTTGAGAAGATTTTATTTATTAGAAATGGAATCGTAGGCTGAGTAATCTACATCAGTGTCTTTGGATTTCTTCTCTATTTTCATAAATATTTATCTGAGTCCACTGAAGGTGTTATATCTCTTCCCTGTGCTGAGTAGTGAAAAAGTAACTTATATACGTAACTGTTTGTGTTACCCTGTGTGTCCTTTGAAAGTAAGTCACGGTGTGTCTAACGATTGTACAGATTTGCAAAATAAATTATGCTTGAAAATAAGATTGTGTTTTATGTGTTACCGTTTGCTTCTTTTAGTGGATTAGTGAGAAATATTAGTCTGTACTCAAAGATAAAGAGTGTATTGCATGTTCTAACTGTTTATGAATAGGGTAGAAATGGAGCGCTGTTTCCTACTGGTATTTCCAAAATGTTCCTCCTCTTCTGAGTATACATTTATTACAAATTGAGGAGCTAAGAGATGTTGAAGAAGGGCTTGTAATGTGTCATGTAATGTGAAATCAGTACATTTGTAAGTGGGACGGCCTCTAAAATACATTATGTAGCACATGTTACGCGTTTGTGCTGAGCAGTTTGATCGGTTATGGCCAGGTTGGGCACATATGGGGCATCGGTCTGTGGAACGGCAGTGTTTGGCAGGATGTCCAAAGCGCCAACAGTTTTGACATTGACGGGGAGGGGGTTGGTATGGTCGAACAGGGAGGGATAGTATGGTTGAACAGGGAGATTGTCCACCAATGTAGATACGTAACGGAAGGTCGTGTGAAAGTAATTTTGGCAATGTTGGTCGAATTCTTTCTTTGACCTCTAGGAGGAATGGTGTAGCAATGTACTGATTTCACATCTTGGTCTTTGAGGCATCCTAATAAGTCTTCTCCACAGTCTGACCAATCTTTGGTATCGACTGGGCAGTTTGCTGGGGAGAGAGAGAGACAGTTCCGGTACAAGTATTAAGGGTTGGATGAGGTTCTGCAGGAATGGGGTTGCCAGAATGATCAGTTAGATTTGATAGTGCTATAGATTCAGACTCTGATCTGACTGTTACCAGACGGGAGCGATCGCGTCTGTATAGAATGATGGAAATAAGTTCAAGGTAGTAATAAGGGAGGATTGGTTGCTTGATGAAGGTTGCGGGGGTAGAGTTGATGAATTTGAGGAAGTTGGGAGGGTAGGAATGTCTTCTGGAGATCGAGTCTGCTTGGTGGGTAATGCACTAGTAGGCATTGAGGAGTGGGTAGTAGTTTCAGTGTTCGGAGTCGTGGTCAAAGGAGCCTGGGGTCGGGGAGCCGGTGGGGCTATCTGATGAAGGGGCAAGCCTCATTGCCCCTAATAAGGGGATTACATCTTCATTACTGGTCACGGGAGTACCGTGCCCACAAATCCCGCAGGCCGTTCAGGACTGGCACAAGGTCAGCCTTTCATCCTTTCAGCACGGCTCTTACACCTTAGGAAGTAGACAGTAGAAGGGGTTGGAGAAGGGATGGAAACAAAAGCTGGAGGGGGAAAAGACCATGCAAAATTAGTTGAGTCGAGGGCTGAGGCCCTATGCAGGGGAGATCCCTGTACTGGGTCTCAGTCTTCGGCTCCTAAGCCCCCCCCCCCCTACGACAACAACGG